ATAAAATATTAATGGCTATTGGCAGCCATAGAGAGTGGCCATGGCAGCTTGACGAACTTGGACATGTTCCGGTTATTGCATAATTGGCCGTTTCATACTGTTCTAGTGGGCTGTGCTTAGTGCAACCAGACAGATGGGCCAGCTATAGTGTCAGCCAAACTAACATATCAGTATTGCTGCTGTGTGAACAAAAAGGATAATGCTAGAATTACACAGTTGGGGAACAAGTGAATAAATCTGACAGCAGACAAAGTATTTGACAACTATAACAATTGTCATAAATCAAACTTGAACATTTCATTCAAGATGATATCCTGTATTGAAATTATGATCGACTGTTTAACCATTGTTCAGTTCTTTATTGGTTGTGACATACAATCTGTCAATGTTGTAACTGCATTTGTGATGCTGTTTCAGGCTTTTGCTGCTGCTTCTTTCACTCCTTGTTTGTTTCATGGGGTTCAGGGTCAGTGTATCTTTTGGTCATTGGATTTTCATTTTCGAAACAGGAATTAAAAAACAAAAAACAGGTGGATATTTGACTTTTGTTTTAAAGTACTGAAATTGAAATTAAAATACAAAGCGTTTCTCATTCTTAGTGTCCAAAAGGGATAAACAAATTTTTAAAAATGATTTCAGTTTCATTTTCTGTTTCAGATAGCAAAAAAGAAAATTTATTTAAGAAAGAAACGAAAAGAAGGCTTGCTTGTTTGTATTCTACGACTATCTATTCTCCCACCAGAAGGGGCGCTCGCCTGGCAGCTCTGCATAATGAAACACTAATTTCTGTAAATAAAAGCTGAAACACGGAGACGTATGTCCATAAAGGAGTTGTATGATGACTGTCGCTCTGTGACCAAAGGCTTTGCAGAAGTACTTTGTGTGGCTTTTGGCCAAATAAGTCTTTTACTGAATACCTGTCTACTACTGCCTCCACTTCACCTCCATTTATCTCAGTAAAAAGCAAAATAATTTAAATTTCATTCTATTAGTGTGTTGTATGATTGTTGTTCTGTGAGCACAAAGGTTTTTTTCCCTCCTGAGTTTTGACAAAATCTGTGCTTTTTTCTGTCAGTTTGCGTCCTTGGAGTTTTCCTTTCAGTGAAGGGTAGGCGGCACTACGACTTTGATATTGATCTGATACCAAATAAATACTTGGCAAATATATTTGATACCAAAGTCAGCATCAGTACTTTTTACTTTTAATGGGATGTTCATTGAATAGCTTTGATATTGCAGACACCCCTTCTGGTGGTGAAACAGTTTATTGTAGAGATACAGTAAGTTGGCACGACTTGTCGTAGATTATGGACAAACGAGTCTTTTTTCGTTTCTGTCTTCAAGTAATTTTCTTTTATGCTATCCAAAACAGAAAATGAAACTCAAATCATTTTAAAAATTCCGTTCATCCCTTTTTGACACTAAGAATGAGAAACGCTTTGTATTTTAATTTTAATTTCAATATTTTAAAACAAAAAAATGAAATATCCACTAGTTTCTTGTTTTTTAATACCAGTTTCAAAAATGAAAATCCAATGACCAAAAGATACACTGACCGTTCACTCTCCTCTTCAGGAGGTGAAATGCATGCTCTGTTGGGTTCTGGTCAGGTGATTGACTTGGCCAATCTAAAACCTTCCACTTTTTTTCCCCTGATAAAGTCCTTTGTTTTGTTGGCAGTGTGCTTTGGGTCATTTTCCTGCTGCATGATAAAATTATTCCAGATTAGTTTGGAAACATTTCTCTATCTTGGTCTCATCAGTCCATAAGATTATCTTCCAGAACATTTGCAGCTCATCTCTGTGGTTTGCATCTTTGTGTATGGCCTCTATATTTCTGCTCTCTGAGTCTTCTTCCAACAGTGGATTGTGATACCTTCACCCTTGCACTGTGGAGGTTGTTGGTGATGTCACTAATGCCCCTTTTCCTCTAGTGCTACTTAGTGTAGTGTCGGAATGGTCGGTTTAGGTACGGGTCGGACCAGTTGGTTTTCCACTGATGTTCCAGTCCGGTTCCAATGGGTGTGTTTTGGGAAGTTGGTGGAGGTGATTTTTAGGTATTTTAAATAAAAATTAATGAGCAAAATGAGAGATGGAAACACATTTGATGAATAACTTTTGAAATTTTAAACATTTGCAAAAATGTAGCCAATCAGTGATGAACAGTGTTCTGACGTCGCATTTTGGTGTCAGCTAGGGCCAGTTGGAACCACAATGAAGTAGGTACTAAAAATAGTGCCGGTTCCATGGATCTGGCCTAATGGAAATGGCTTGGAATCGTACCGAACCGTACAGACACTACACTAAATGGCACTAGTGGAAAAGGGGCATTACTGATGTTTTTTTTTTTTTCACAGCTCTCACAATATTTCTGTCATCAACTACTGTTGTTTTCTTTGCCTGACCTGTTCGATGTCTGTTGCTCAGTATATCAGTAGTTTCTTTCTTATTTAGGACTTTACAAATTGTTGTGCTTGCTATGCCCAATATTTGTCTAATGTCTCTGATTGATGTTCCTTCTTTTCTCAACTTCAAAAAGGCTTGCTTTTTCCCATAGACAGCTCTCTGGACTTCATGTTGGTTTATCCTGGGTGACTGTGGTGGAGTAGTTAGGGGCGTCATCCTGGAACCGGAAGGTCGCCGGTTCGATCTCCCATCCAGCCATCTCAGTCATTGTGTCTTTGGGCAAGACGCTTCACCCGCCTTGCCTACGCATGGTGGTCAGAGGGTCCAGTGGTACCGGTGCATGGCAGCCTCGCTTCTGGCAGTGTGCCCCAGGGTAGCTGTGGCTTCAATGTAGCTTACCATCATCAGGTGTGAGTGGGTGAATGTCTGTAAGTGTAAAGCACTTTAAGGTCTTGAGAGATTTGATAAAGCACTCTAAGTTCAGTCCATTTACCATCCTCTTTTACAAGAAAAAATATATTTTATAAGTTTAAACCCAGGGCAAAAAGTAGATTAGTCATGCATATATATTTAATGTTTGAACAATCAACCTTAAAGGCAACACCTGGTCAATAAGAAACAGCTGTCAGTCACATGTTCCAATAGTTTTTCTCACTTGAAAAATGGGTGAGTTCAGACAAAGGGTGGTATGTTCTGGGTTGTTTAACACATCTACATGTAAATACCAGGAAATAAAAGCTGACATTTGGAACTCTTGTCTCATGTTCATCTTTTGATATTAAGTTCTGCAGTTTTGTGGGCGTAAATGCCTTGTTGATGCCAGAGGTCAGAGGAGAATGGCCCGTCTGGTTCAAGCTGAGAGACCACTGATAAACCACTTGTTACAACCAAAGTATGCAGAAGAGCATCTCGCACAACACGTCAAAACTTGTGGCGGATGGGTTACAACAGCAGAAGACCACATAAGGTGCCACTCCTGCCAGCTAAGAACAGGAAACTGAGGCTACACCAAAACTGGACAATGGAAGGTTGGAAAAATGTTGCTTGGTCTGATGAGTCTCGATTTCTGCTGTGACATTTGGATGTTAGGGTCAGAATTTCGCGTCAACAACATGAAAGCATGGACTCATCCTCCCTTGTATCACCGGTTCAGGCTCGTGATGGTGGTGCAATGGTGTGGGAGATATTTTCCTGACACATTTTGGGCCCATTAGTACCAACTGAGCATCGTGTCAACGCCACAGCCTACCTGAGTATTGTTGCTGACCATGTCCATCCCTTTATGACCACAATGTACCCATCTTGTGATGGCTACTTTCAGCAGGATAACGAGCCATGTCATAAAGGGTAAATCATCTCAGACTGGTTTCTTGAACATGACAATGAGTTCACTGTACTCAAATGGACTCCACAGTCACCAGATCTCAATCCAATAGAGCATCTTTGGGATGTAGTGGAACAGGAGATTCACATCAAGGGTGTGCATCCGACAAATCTGCAGCAACTGTGTGATGCTATCATGTCAATATGAACCAGACTTGCTGAGGAATGTTTTCAGTACCTTGTTGAATCTATGCTATGAAGGATTAATGCAGTTCTGAAGGCAAGATGGGGTCCAATCTGGTACTAGCAAGGCGTACATAATAAAATGGCCAGTGAGTGTAGATGCAAATTATGTCCAGCTTTTGTGATGAACATATTTGTGCCATCCCTACGCAATTAGAAATGATTTTTAGAAACAGAAAATATAATGAATTAATCACGAATGCTAAAAATTCTTAAGTAGGTAGGGGATTAAAAATGTGTTTTGGTCACGTGCAAAGGATAAGTGTGTCTGTGTGTGTGGGTGAAGCTGCTGTAACTGCAGTGCCTCAGTGGAGAGTTTCCTCTGCAGTGTTGATTGCATTAGTTTGGTAGTTTTAATGCAAGTATTCCTGAGTTGCACTGTAGGACTACCTACTGAACTATTGTGCCAAACAAGCACCCAAGTTATGTCTTCCAATTAAAAACAAACAATGGCTATTGGCTAATTTAAGATGATGAAGATGATGATCCAGTGTTGGGAATATTTTTGAATGTACACTGTTTCATGGATATGTTTTCTAGCTAAATATTATTGTTGTTGTTGTTGTTGTTATCCTTTTCAATAAAAATATAATTTTTCACAAAATTTGATCAACCAGTATATTAACCTGGTTGTTGTAAGAGTTTATCTTAAGTTTAAACTTGTTCTGATTGTTTTTAAAACTGATTGGACCAACTGTGGTGTGGTGCCAATCATAATAACCTTTTTTATTATTTATTCTTTTTTTATTCACAGTGGAAGTTACCATTTAATTTAAACCATATCTATTGGCTTTTGCACTGATACAATGTGAGAAAACTAATATTCGAGCATTTACTCATTATTCATGTGATGTTGATTGTTTTTAATGCCAACAGTTTTACTTATTAAACTCTTGAGAAATAATCAATCAGGTCTTATTGATGCTTATCAAAAGTAACTTCTTGGTGGTGTATTATATATTTTATGGTATTTACCTTGGAAAACATTTTGTGCAAGATCTCTGAAGTGTCTTTTGTTTTCTTCCTCAGGCTTTGTCTTTGATCGTCCTGCCTTTCATTCCAGCATCCAACCTTTTCTTCCCTGTGGGTTTTGTTGTGGCGGAGAGAGTACTTTATGTTCCCAGTATGGGATTCTGTGTCCTTGTAGCACATGGCTTCAAAATTGTGTCACATAAAGGGTAAGTGTACTTGTAAAAAGATGTTTAAAAATGGATAGGAACAGTTTGTTGCTGTGTGTTACTAAAGTGCTAAACAACAGACCCACACGTAACACTTTTGTATGAATGAGACATTTTGAATTATCAAGACAATAATCCATGTCTGAATTACTGAGGTTTATTGCTTTACCTGAAGGATGACATTATTTTTATTTATTTCATACCTGGGGAACAAAATGATTGTATCTATGATGTGTAATGGGGAAGTTAAGACAGTAATAAATATGTAGATAATCTCATCTGTACCTCTAGAAGCTATAGATAGAACACTTGCCAGCAAAGGTGTGGATGACAACTACAAATTGGCTCATTTTCATGTTTCAAAAAGGATTTTCAGCTCTTAAGGGACTGTTTGATAACCGTTAACCTCAGACGGGGCTGTCCACAGGGAGGAGTAATCTCATCCCTGGGTTGGCTCCTGGTTGTCGACAGCCTACTAAATGAGTTGACACAAGGGTATGTCGATGACTTGGTCATACTTATAGAAGACTTCTGCCTGGGTACTGTATGTAACCTAATGCAGAGGGAACTATAGTGTTCAGATGGTGCCAAGCTGGAACTTTCAGTCAATCCAAACAAGACAGAAATGGTTCTTTCCACTCAAAAGAAGTCAAGGAAAGGTTACTCACCTCCAAAGTTTGAGAGAGTAAAACGCTCCTTATCAGAGTTGTTAAAACTTTTAAATCTCTATCTAGACAGGAAGCTTAACTGGAAAAGAGACGTAAAAGAAAGGAAATTCTTGGGGACTCCTTTATGGATCCGGAGAAGCATAGAACACTGAATGGTTTCTAACCTTGTGTCCTTTATCTGAGGGACAAAGGTTTGATTAAAGCTCAGTGTCCTTTTCAGGAGAGCAACGGCCCACTTATACAACCCCTTTCATATGGGTTCTTTATCCATCCCCTCTCACCATAACATAACACTAAATATCTATGCTAAAGATGGACAAAAATTAATCTTCTGGAAGCTTCTTTTGAACGTGTACCAGGGATAGTCAATCCTTGTCCTCGAGGGCTGCAGCCCTACATCTTTGACTTTTTTCCCTTCTCCAACACACCTGATTCAGTCAGTGAATTACTTTTTCCAAGTTCTGCAGAAGCCTGAAATATTCATTCATTCATTCATTCAAATCAGGTGCATTGGAGCAGAGAAACAAGTAAAACGTGCAGGGCTGCAGCCCTTGTGGACCAGGATTGACTGTTCCTGTTATACACGCTGAAATCCTTACAAGTTGAATGAATATATAGAATGTACATAAATCATTGATTCATAACAAGATTTTTACAAGTCAGCATAAGTTGTCTTAAATGACAGGAACTTTCAAAAACCATCAGATCTTCAGGTGGTTCAAACCTTCATTCTAAGTACAGGGTGAAAGTGTTAATAAACAACTCTTAACAGAAAGAAACCCATCAAACCAGAACCAGGATTCACCTCAACTGACTGAGCATCTGGTTGAGAGATCAGAGAGATGAATAAACATGGAAATGTTGGTCCTGGTATTATATACAAATGAAGAAAACAGAAACTTTTTAATGTTGCCAATAATTACAAATATAAACATGGGGAGTAGAGCGAGTAATGACAGCAACAGTGTGAGGAAATATGGTCAGTTTTTCTTCCAGCAGTCTAAGGCTATATTAGCACAAGTAATGGATAAATCAGGAAACCCAAAGGAAAATCTTAACCCTAGTCTTAAAAGTAGACAGAATGTCGGCCTTAGGTGAAAACTGGAGATTAGTTCTACAAGAGTGTGATAACTGAAAACTCTGCCTTACGTTTGCCAAACTTTTAGAAACTCCATGAGCTTCACGTAAACCTGCAGTCTTGAAGTGAAGTGATCTGTTTGGAAAATATGGAACAATGAGATTTTAATGTAAGCTGGATTGAAGTAAGATGGAGCTTTTTTTGTCGAAAGCTTTGCATGCTAGAAGTAAGATTTTAAGTAAGATGTTTTAGAGATTTCTGGATTTTGTTGGATTAAAAAAAAGGAATTTCAAAAGTCCACCTGGGAAGTGTTAAATGCATGGAACCTTTTTTCATGTCTTATTAGGGCTTCCCATATCAAATGAATAAAAGAGCAGAGGAATGCATTGCTTTAAGTTAAAGTTCTAATATATAGAACTTTAACTACTTCAGCAAACTTGCACCAGACTGGGCCATTCAAACTTTAAACAAAACATTAGAATTTCAATTATTACTAAATCATTCCACTTTTTGATATCTTGAACTGTTATTGTACAGTCAGCATTTAAGTTTGTTAAATTTTTGCTTTTTTTCTTGTGTCCTGCTGTGTTGTGTTTAACTGATGTTTGTGACTGTGTGGGTTTCTGAGTGTGTATTTTTAATGTACGTTTATGTCTTTAAAGGTTCATTCCATCTTTTACAGCTTCTGTTAAGCTTTTTTTTTTTTTTTGGCTTGTTCAACTGTCTGTTCGGATGTTTGTTTGAACTAAAATTTTCAGAGGTTTTCTCATGTTGAAAGTGAGTTTCTGCATAGCTGCCCTGTAACAGCATCACAATCTGGCCTTTCTGATTGGCTGAGGCTGATACTGGGCAGGACAGCCTTTCAGCTGAATGAGAAAAATAGGCCCTTTCCCAATCGGTGGCTACACACTCGCCATGGTAACAGTCCAACCTCTGGCAGTGACTGAATGGAGAAGCGATCGGGGGCTGCAAGCTGCAGCTAGGTGTTATTGACTGAATGCAGGAGAACAAACGCTTTTTTTAATAGGACCAAAGAAAATATTTAATTAGGCCCACATTTTAGAGAGTTTTCAGATATGACTGTATTTATAACAAACACAGTGTGATAACTTGTCAAAATAATTGGATTTTAACATTTTTTAAAAATAATTTATTTATTTTTTCTTTATTTTTTTAATGTTTCCTTTCTTTTTTAAATATGGACCGGGGTTCTGTGTCTTTAATAAAGTTAGAACAGAATTAAACATGATTTATGTGGAATTATATTTGTTGGTGAGGTTACTTAGTATGTGTACAAAACATATGCGGAACTTATATTTATACATCCCGTCCTCCATACGACCAATATTTGGTGCTGCACCTGCTGCTCAAGTCTGCATCGGATGCAGACTCGGTGTGGAGGGCTTAATAAGCCACTCGCCCTCATCCGTAATTGGTTCCAGATGGGACTTAATATGGCCAACCCTCCGCGGGAACACGCAAACTGAGTGAGCAGGGAGTAGGGTGAGTGTGTAGGCACCGATTGGGAAAGGCCCCTCGTTTGTGTGATTCAACATGGCACCCTGGTTTCTCAGCAGTTAGATGCATAAAGCTGAAATTTGGTGGGTTGGTAGCTGGGAGGTAATCTCCCACTATTCATATGTCAAAGTGTTCCTGGGCAAGAGTGTCCCATTAGTGTGTGAATGTGGTTTAAAAGCACTGTGAGTCTCTATAAATGTTGAATGCATTGTAACATATATACATGTAAGTTTTGTAGAGGTATAATAGAGTGCTGAATGAATGTTGTGTGGATGGGTAAATGAGTGCACAGTGTGAAGCACTGGCGCTTTATAAGTACAGTCCGTTTACCATTAAATAGCATCTAGCTGTTTTACATTATTGTCATATGAAATTAACTTTAATTATGAATTATATTATTTATTGTAATGAAAATAATTGGTGACACAGATCCAGTTAGGTCTGCCATGAATTAAATAGTCTTGTCATCTGTGAGACATTGGCCTCTCCAGATGCCATATTAGTTTCTTCACGATGTCACAGATGTAAACAATGGGTGGACAGGCAGAGCCCACTCTAGTTGTGTTATTTGAGATGCATAGATGTCTAATGTCCAACCAATAAATACATGTCATGTTGCAGGTTGTTAAAACTTGGATGATGGATATTTTTAATATGTCTTATTTGTATTATGTATTTTCTTTTATACTGAGGGATTACCACATTGTTTGGGTCAGGGAGGTTGTGTGTCTGAGATTCTAAGAGCTACACCAGCATAAATGTTGTCTTTAATTGGGACACAGCTGGACAGGTCTTAGAGCTCAATCCATTTCTTGGAGGTTTGGACACAGCTAACAGCAGTGATCCAATCCTATGAAGAAAATACTTAACATGATGTATACGCATGATGCCCCCTTCATATTTCTGCCTGCCCCCTCAAATATGAATTCCTAGAATGGGCCCTGATTCAAAGTCTTAAATTGTTTGTTGCAGACAATTGAAAAAGATTTCCTGGTTGATGATTGGAGTGCTGTTTACTATGCATGCAGTGAAAACTTTCAACAGAAACTGGGACTGGGAGTCAGAATACACTTTATTTACCTCCGCCCTGAAGGTAAGATGCCTAGACTGTGACCATATTGTAAAATTATGTTGGCAGTTCTCCAGTGCTGAAAAACAGTTTCATTCATATTGTGATTTAATTCTCGCTAAAAAAAAGTCTAATAGATAAATCTGCTTTGATCAATCAAGCCTTTTGCAAAACAACATATGGTTGATTGCCATGTTTATTAAGTGTTGTACCATTTCAGGTTAACAAGAACAATGCCAAGTTGTGGAATAATGTTGGCCACGCTTTAGAGAACCAGAACAATTATGCAATGGCTCTACGATATTTTCTCCAGGCCACTCGCGTCCAACCAGGTGAGAGACATCAATCAGACACCCATAAGTCATTTTGACATTTCCAAATAAAATGGTGGTGTAAATATTTTGTGGTTACAAGATGAAAGATATTTTGAGACCTCACAGAATGTGTTCTTGGTTGTGTTTATTGTGCTTTGTTTTTCTCATGCTGAGAAACTCACTGAAATCTTGCCAGTAAAGAAGTTATATGGAGGTTAGGTCATTATAAAGGCAATAGAAAGAGAAAAAAAACATGCAAACAATAGCCCTGCTGTAAAATCCTTATTGAGAAACACAGTTTTATGCATGTCAGAAGTTTTACTTGATGGAATTTGACTCTCAAATGGTTGTTTTACATTATGGTTCTCTGTTACAGTTACAAATAATAACATCTTAGTACAGGGATGGGCCGCCTGAATGATGGTAGGGGCAGCAATTTCTTATTGACACTACCAGAGGGAGGCATGGTTCTGCACACTTACCTAAATGTAATGATACTTCCATTTTAAAAATGTGTGTGTGTGTGTGTGTGTGTGTGTGTGTGTGTGTGTGTGTGTGTGTATATATATATACTGTATATATACAATTACACACACAGTCTAAGGCTACGCACACAAATACATGTAAATGTATGTATGTATTATAGTTGAATGCAAATCCACTGAACTTTCAACACAGTGCATCTTCAGAAGACAAGTTGATAAAATATATTTTAAAAATCTGAATTGTTCGACACAAGTGCGTTTTGATCCTAAAGCGCTGTATTGAATGGTTTGATACAGATACGTATATTGTTGCACCCCTTTTATACAGTGGGGAGAACAAGTATTTGATACACTGTTGATTTTTCAGGTTTTCCCACGTGCAAAGCTTGTAGAAGACTGTAATTTTTATCATAGGTACTCTTCAACTGTGAGTGATGGAATCTAAAACAAAAATCCAGAAAAATACAATGTATGATTTTTAAATAATTAATTTCTATTTTATTGTGTGAAATAAGTATTTGATCATCTATCAACCAGTAAGAATTTTGGCTCTCACAAACATGTTAGTTCTTCTTTAAGAAGCCCTCCTGTTCTCCACTCATTACCTGTATTAACTGCACCTGTTTGAACTTGTTACCCGTATAAAAGACACCTGTCCACACACTCAATCAATCAGACTCCAGCATCTCCACAATGCCCAAGACCAGAGAGCTGTGTAAGGGCATCAGGGATAAAATTGTAGACCTGCACAAGGCTGGGATGGGCTACAGGACAATAGGCAAGCAGCTTTGGTGAGAAGGCAACAACAGTTGGTGCAATTATTAGAAAATGGAAGAAATACAAAATAACGGAAAATCTCCCTCGGTCTGGGGCGCCATGCAAGATCTCACCTCGTGGAGCATCATTGATCTTGAGGAAGGTGAGGAATGAGCCCAGAACTACACGGCAGGACCTGGTCAATGACCTGAATAGAGCTGGGACCACAGTCTCAAAGAAAACAATCAGTAACACTCTACGCCATCAAGGATTAAAATCCTGCAGTGCACGCAACGTGCCCTTCCTCAAGCCAACGCATGTCAAAGCCCGTCTGATGTTTGCAAATGACTATCTGAATGATCCAGAGGAGGAATGGGAGAAGGTCATGTGGTCTGATGAGACAAAAATAGAACTTTTTGSTTTAAACTCCACTCGTCATGTTTGGAGGAAGAAGAATGATGAGTACAACCCCAAGAACACCATCCCAACCGTGAAGCATGGTGGTGGAAACTTCATTCTTTGGGGATGCTTTTCTGCAAAGGAGACAGGACGACTGCACCATATTGTGGGAAGGATGGATGGGGCCATGTATCGTGAGATTTTGGCCAACAACCTCCTTCCCTCAGTAAGAGCACTGAAGATGGGTCGTGGCTGGGTCTTCCAGCATGATAACGACCCAAAACACACAGCCAGGGCAACTAAAGAGTGGCTCCGTAGGAAACATCTTAAGGTCCTGGAGTGGCCTAGCCAGTCTCCAGACCTGAATCCAATAGAAAATCTTTGGAGGGAGCTTAAAGTCTGTGTGGCCCAGCGACAGCCCTGAAACCTGAAGGCTCTGGAGGAGATCTGTATGGAGGAGTGGGCCAAAATCCCTGCTGCAGTGTGTGCAAACCTGGTCAAGAACTACAGGAAACGTCTGATCTCTGTAATTGCAAACAAAGGTTTCTGTACCAAATATTAAGTTTCATTTTTCTGGTGTATCAAATACTTATGTCACACAATAAAATGGAAATTAATTATTTAAAAATCATACATTGTATTTTTCTGGATTTTTGTTTTAGATTCCATCACTCACAGTTGAAGAGTACCTATGATAAAAATTACAGTCATCTACAAGCTTTGCAAGTGGGAAAACCTGAAAAATCAACAGTGCATCAAATACTTGTTCTCCCCACTGTATATACAATATATACAGACAAACTGTAAAATGTGTCAGTGAGTTTATTTATTTAATTTGTTTTTTTACCCCAAAACTTTATGGTAAACAAAAGAACTTAGTTACACCAGAGCATTGGTTCCCAAACTTTTTATCTTCTGACCCACAAAATATTCATGGCAAAAACTTGTGACCCCAAAAATTGCTGGTCTGAGTACACAAACTTTGTTAATAACCCTAAAAACAAAGGCTACACAAATATACTTATTTATACTTATTTTGTTTTTTGTAATAATTGGAAAATATTGCATCACCAATTATTTTATTACCCTTTAAAGAGTATCCCTTCATTCAGACAAAGTGGAAGAACTGCATAGCATCAATGTAGAGGGCCCAAATCTTGAGGGTTTTAATGCTAGGAAAGCAGGCCAAAGATCTCGAAGGCCAAACTTCAGGAGTTGGCTATCTGAGTGGCCTATGTAGTCTAAAAGATATTTATTCATGAAATGTTGAGTTTGAGATGTTTATAAGATGTTCAGCCCTTAAACATTTGCACTTAAATTAAAAATTTGTTTTTAATGTCATTTTTATTGAGATGTTTAAGTTAAAAATTTTGGTCATAGTATCATTTTAAAAACTTTTTCAGTGAGCAGTATGTCTTCTGTTTCAAATAAAGACCTTTATGTTTACTACACTGTTAACTAATTATTTGTTTGTTTGTATTGTCTTAATGGACAGTGATTAAAAAAATTGGACCTGTAAAACTGCAATGTTGAAAAGTCATGTGATAACCTATATATCTCAAGAAGTGGGCCAACATACCTGTGAACAGGCACAGAAGTCTAATTGATAAATACAGAAATCATTTGATTGCAGTGATTGCCTCCAAAGGTTGTGCAATGAAATAGTAAGTTACAGGTTCCATGATCTTTGTTCAGACCTCTTCCATAAGTTTTTTTTATTATTCTGTTGAGCCACAATTCAAAAGCAATGTCTGCTTCATTGTTTAACTTTCATTTATTATTACCTTTCTTAGTTTCAATTGATTTCAGGGAGCATTGTGGGCTTTTCAGTCACACAGGGATACCAATAATTTTGTTCATGTGTAATTTCACTCTTTAACATAGATGTCAGCACTATTGTTGTCTTTCTACAATTTGACTTCGCCAAATGTTTTAAGTAATCACCAATCACTATCATTCAAGATGATTTTCTGAACAAATTCCTTGCTTAATAATGTTTCCCCCATGCTTTCAGATTTTAATAATGCGTTGCACAGTTCTTAACCCACTTTTAGTAGTTTTAGCGATCTTAATGTTTTCTTCATTTGATGTATGCCAATAATCTGACCCATCTGGAAAAGATCAACATCTTTTCAATGGCCACAGAATGCGTCTTTTGACATGGTTGTTTAACAAAGGAGACTCACTGCATCAGTTACGATTAAACAACCTGTTGCCAGCTGAAACACGATCACCCATTATACAATGGGAAGCTCTTACCTATTTGCTTTGTTAAAATCAGGTGATGACCTTTTTTTTATAATCAGGCAGTGTGTATTGGCGTATATGCTGTTAATGAGTTACTAAACATATTTTGAAATTATTTCATAACAGAGTAATCTCCCTCTTTGTTTTTCATATCAGTGTTGTAACCCTTGGAAGTTCACAAACTGCCACATTGTTGCATTGTTTACCACAACTGTCACAAAAACCAAAATACCAGGACATCATGCTGAAAACAAATACTACAGCTTCGGTTGCTAGATTTCCTGTTTTCCTAGATGAAATAGAGCAGAAAATTAAAAATAAAAATTACAGAAAAAAAGCAGTGCTTTATTGCAAGAAGCAAAAAAATTACAAGAACCAATGACAGTTTAAATTTAGACTTTGCTTAATGGCATGTAACTTAACATATAAGAGGGTGTTTTGTACAATGGAAGTAAAATTGAATTAGTTCATTCTGGAGGTGGTGAAAGGGATGACTGTTGGAGCATGAAATGCTTCTGTAGTCGCCCTTGTTCTTCACTCCTCACATGGTTTAAAGCCAATTTGTTGTTCAATGGGTCCATTTATTATATTCTGTAATCTTATGACTGCAGTCAAATGGACTTTAACCAAATTTCTATCACTATTACATGAAAAAGCAGCTAAGACAGCTTGAGCCGTACTCAGTTTTTAGGGGTCTTTTTTCACAGTTTTCAGGAAGCCTGTTATCAACTGGTGCATCAGCACTTTGGCGGGTTCACCACCCACAAGTGTTTCCCCAAGATTACCAATGTCAGCACATTAACCCCGAGTTTTCCTGCTATAATAATCGGGCATCTGTTCATCATGGCACAGTTGACCTGTTTCAGTGCTTCACTGTTCTTCATGGGTCTCATCTTTTATTTTTCTCTTTATAGCAAATGAGCTAACATCCAGTCCAAATGCTTACAATTACAAAATGAATTGTTTGTTTATTGCAACAGACCCAATGTCATTTAATAGCAATCAGTGCAAACCATATTTTGCAAACCTTTACATTGCCATTCATTTTGTGGCACAGGTATTTATTTTGTAAGTACTTTCAAGATCAAAAAGTAGTAGGAACAATCTATGTCACATCCAACGCAATACAGA